TAAGAGTTGGGTCAAATGGTGGTTACTATTGTCAATATGTTTAACAGTACTTCATATGTTCCTTGGTCCTTTTCTGCTTCTGCGCTTTTCTTTTTGCTTCTTTTGGTGCCAATGTTTTAAATAGTTTGGAGGATCTTATTTGATTTATTACACTTGTGTAGGGCCGTTTCGAGATATTATGCTTGTCAGGTTCATATTTAATTGCTGAAGATGGTGGTCCTCGGAATCGAACTGGTGGTGTAAGTGCTTCCCTTTCTAGTCCTGATGGTCATGTGTTTGGTGGTGGAGTTGCAGTGCTTATTGCTGCCAGCATTGTTCAGGTAATTTAATTGCTCTTTAAAGGACTATATTGTATTCCTTATTGCTACCATTACAGTAATATGCCTACTTCCCATCTTTAATTTTGAATTTAAAATCCATATGTTTGAGACCCATCAATTTAGGGTGTCTGCTTTGATCCTCTCGTTTTTTGTCTTGCTAAACTCATTTTGCTTGCTACCAGTAAAATGATATTGAAGGTCTCAAACAAATAAGCAATTATCTTCATTGTATAGTTTGGTAGCTTGGAAATTCCTGCCTTTTGGGAATGCATTTGTGCACATGCCATATGGTGTAATTTGTTTAGTTTGGAAAGGATAGTAATATATGATTGGGTTTGTGGACGTCTCAAATGTGCATGTTAACAAGGGATGTGTTATTTGTGTGCATGCATGTGGAGTTAAAAAGTTATTTGCAAGTCCATGATCTCAATTGTCTAATGCATGATAAACATTGCTTGCTGCAGGTGGTAGTATGCAGTTTTGTATATGGTGGTTCTAAGACCAAGAACAAACAAATAGCCATGCCTGAAAGTGATATGAATTCTACACCCCAGCTTAGTAATAAATCAGCTACCCCAATTCGTGCACCTGTCTCTCAAAATTTCTCCTCCCCTGCAATCAATGTCTGGCCTGGTTCTCGACTCGTTGATTTGAGAAACCCCCATACTGATATTGACTTGACGCGTTGATGATAATTTGCTGCGACAAACACATGGTGATTTGTACATATGTGTTGTTGTAAATGTACTGAACCTGTGAAATCTATGAACTTCTGAAATCCAACCTATTTGCCCAGTAGGGGTACCGGGTTTGTGCTAACTTAGTTTGTAACAAAGTCACCATCTTTAGGTTCTCAAATAACAGTGAGAACTTGTTGAAATTCTTTTAGCAGATTGGAGTTAAAGATGTTTAGGAGAGGAAAAGTCTGTTGTCTTCATAGTTAACCACTGTTTGCTCTTGGCCCCTAGATTATGTTGTATCTATTTCTTATTTCCATTTTTCAGTTAATCCATACTCCTTCACTCATCTCCCAAGGATTTGCAGGGTACAAAATAATGTTATGGCACAGATAAAGCTAGCTTTTGCATGGATATTGAGAATATATGTAAAATTAATTGCAAAAGAAAGAGGTAAATTTGATGCTCTAAAAGAACTTGTAATCAAGCAATATCTGTTCATGTAATTAAAAGTGTCTTATTGACATGGTACTAAATATCAAGATTCATGGATTGCTTGAAATCTGAGAGGTTGAGTCAGTGAGGCTTGGTTAAGGTTAAAACTTGGGCTGGCCCGGCCAGTTTAACTGGGACCCAAAGCCTTTGTAGGGCCAAGTACCCAATTTCACTATTCACCTAAACCTTAGATTTGCAAATTGCGATCAGTGAGTAGACAGTGGTTGGAATGTTGGGGGTTTTGAAGAGGAAGTTTCAGTGAGTTAAAAGGTGGTGACAGAGGTCATTTCCGGTGAGTGAAACGAGTAGAAAATGCAAAAGTTTTGCGATGCCAACAACGACTTTTTGTCGGCGATTGGTGGGGCGAATAAGAGGAAGGGTGAGATGGGTTTTGATCAAAAGGCTGAGGGGACTATTTTCATGGTGATGTGGAGGGTTGTCGATGTCGATGGTGATGAGAATTGGCCTAAGTTGTCAACGTCGATGATTTCGGCCAGATCTTGGGTAGATATTTTGGGAAATGACTCAAAAGATGATTTGGATTGCATTTGGTGTGTTGGCACCACTAATCAATCAACTACCGATTTACATTTGAGGTGTGTTTGCTGGATTTTAAACCTATAAGGACTTAAGAGAAATGTAAGTTTCAGGGGTGTATTTGCTAAATTTTAAACTTTTAGACATGTTGATGTCACTGTTTTGACCCGCCGGTCAAACTGTTTAAACCGGGACTTGGCAACTTTGCCGGGTTTCACATCAGGTTGGTTATTAAAACTCCGGTTAAAACAGAACTTTTAATCACATTCCTACGTTTACTGCCGAACTCTCAGATCATGTACGCCAAAACAGAAGACAGTGTGAACACCGCTGAAGCAGAAGGCAGAATATTTGCATTCATCAAGTGCCCAAGTTAGTGTCTTAATTAACTTAAAAATGTCAATATTCCGGTTCCTTTCCATAGTACTTCTCCTGTAACCCACTCCTTAAGCCCCTACAAATTCTGACTCATTTCCAAAGCCACGGCCCGCAACAGAACTTGACCAAGCCTACAGAACTAAAGTAGAAGTCAATAGGCGAGAGTTGAAGACTGAACACGTGTAAGTAGATAATAGCTTAAAACTCAAAAGACATGTATCATGATTCTCTCTAGTAGTATTTCCCTCTACAGTTGTGTCCTGGTCTCTCTGCTTCTTCAATTGTAATCTCTGTTCAGCGTTCACCACCCTTTTCTTTTTTCTATATTGCAGTGCAGATTACAGGATGGCAGACCAATCTATAAAAAACCCAGAATCAATTTATGACTTCACTGTCAAGGTCTGTTTCTTCTACCCACATCGATACCTTTATTTAAGATAACTTCCTTTTATATTTTTAATTTTATGTAAACTCATGGAAAGAAGCTTTTTTGTTGAAGTACTTTACTTTTAGCTTGTGGACTAGAAATACTTCACGTTGCCTGCAAATTTATGTTTTCTTTTACTCTTCTTTGATATACAATAATGCTAAAGATAATACTTAAAGGCGATATGAAAACTAGAGCTCGTTAATTGAAACCATTATCAAGTTTTGTTTGTATCACTAGCTGAAGACTAAAGTTCCCGTGTTTAATAGTTTTATGCTAATCTTAGATTCTTTTTCAATTTTATTTTGTTTGTGGTTGGAGCCCTTTCGAGCAGTAGGGACTTGTTCATATCATCTCTGCTCAAGTTTAAACTCTTTTGGTAAAGAGTTATTCTGTTGAATGGATAAGCATGTACCAAATTGCATTTAACTAATGTTTTCTGTGACCAATTTTTGTACATCTTTTCATTCGCAGGATGCCAGTGGCCATGATGTAGATCTTAGCACATACAAAGGAAAAGTCCTACTCATAGTCAATGTTGCTTCAAAATGGTATATCCGGCCCCTGCTTTCATTATCATTGTTATCTCCTTTGGATTTGTGATTAAGGAGATTATGAAATGAATCTGTTGTTTATTAAGTGTACAGTCTAGGCATTATCTTCTTCGTATCTTTGCCATATATATTTTGAATCATCCTTGTTATTTGCAGTGGAATGACCAACTCAAATTACACAGAAATGAATCAATTACACGAGAAGTACAAAAATCAAGGTCTGCACTGAAATTGCAATTAATCTGTTTTGCTTTTACTGGATATGTATTTATCAGATGTATAATCTGTTTTTGAAAGAATGCACAGGCATAGAGATTCTGGCATTTCCATGCAATCAATTTGGGGAGGAGGAACCAGGCAGCAATGATCAGATAATGGAGTTTGTCTGCACTCGCTTTAAATCAGAATTTCCTATCTTTGATAAGGTAGAGACATGCTGAATCTTCTTTACTCTTTGTGCACCTTTACTGTTTGGCGTTATGGTGGTTATCATCATAGGAAAGATAACATATAACTGCTAATTGACCTTTTTTTTGTTTTAGTTATCTACTTACAGCTTTGAGATTTTTCTTTTTGGCGTTAACCGCCATTCCAGTGTTGACCATGTTAAACTATTTTTAATTCATTATAACTTTCTTGTGCTTATCATAACCATCTATATACCTTGCCGGTTTTGTATTAGATTGATGTAAATGGTGAGCATGCTTCTCCACTGTACACGTTCTTAAAGAAGGGTAAATGGGGTATTTTTGGGGATGATATTCAGTGGAACTTTGCCAAGTTCCTGGTGGATAAAAATGGTCAAGTCGTTGATCGGTACTACCCGACAACTTCTCCTCTTAGTCTTGAGGTAATTCTTTCTCTTGCAAGTTATTTGGTTCTTGAAAGTTTTTGTTGGCTCTCTGTTGTTTGAGAGCAAGTAATTGGCTAATTGCCACCTATAATGTCATTTAATTCTCTTATCTTCTATAAATATTGCAGCATGACATTAAGAAGCTGTTGGGAATTTCATAAATACTGAGATGAAGGCCATCAGGATTGCAGCAAAATTCAATAACCTGATGGTTTCTTGCCTTTTGTACATGTTTGTGTGTGTTCAAGATTGGTGAGAAGTAATGTCGCATGATTAAGACTCACGTTTGAATTTATTCTAAAATCAATTTAAATACTCTTATAGTATTTTAGTTTGGATTGTGCACTGTGACCAATGTTTTCTTATGTTATGAAGAGTTGAGACCTACGTAGTAGGTGATTGAGTTATCATATTTCCTTTCTATATCTACTAGTGAATACTTTTGTTGACAAGAAATGCGTTTTTGGTGACTCCCTTCCAACTGTATAAGTTTTAGCCTAACAGTGGAGTGGGAGTGCTTTCAATTTGGAAACTGAAAACGTGATATTGCCTCCAACATTCTTCATTGACAGGCATCCAAGTTTCCAGTTTTAATGAAATATTTTTTTTTCTAAAATCATCATCCTCAAGTTCCGTTTCATAGTTCAGTTGGAGATTCTGTCCCAATGCCGCCATGGCAAGATATGTTAACTGACATGCAACTTACATGTTTTCTTGTCACTTTGTCAGATAGCATCGTATTTCCGCGAACTTTCTATAAGGATTTTCATAGGACGACATGCCATCTATGCTGCTCTACTGAGTCCAGAACAGATGACACGAGGAAGTTTATTTGCAGGAAATCATTTTCAATTCCCAATTGGGATATTCCCCAGACACTAACATGGATATATGGTACAGAAAAAAGCATTAGCCTCATAGATCTTTCCAAATTCAGATCAAGCATTTAAATTTGATTTTAAAAGCAAATGTAACTAGATATACAATGATTATGATCACATAATTGTATTACAAAAGTAAAACTTTAGGCTTCGTTTGGTTGGATTTTAGGAATACTACTTTTAGTATTCCCAAAAAAGTTAAACAGTAAAATACCCAAAAACTCACAATATTATTCAACTTTATTCAACATTTTTTAAACCCCCTAAATTTGTTAATTGAATTAAATACCCCTAAATATTTTTAATGTTTTTGTTACGACGACTCCGGCCACCCTCCGGCGGTGGTGGCCGGCTGTCCGTATTTGAGGGTAGATTGAGGGTATTTTTGTTAACTTTTAATGTTTTATTATAAGGAGTGTTTTGTAAAAAAACAAACATAGGGGGTATTTTATCAATTTGTAAATCCTACATCGTAATACCCGTCCAATTCAACTTTTTTGTTAACTTTTTTCAAAAAACTTTTCCCAAAAACACAAAATTGTGAACCAAACGGAGCCTTAATCTTATATATTACGGTACCCTGTAATGTTACTGAGACTCCAAAAAGCAAAGCAAAAACAAAGCAAAACCAACTCTCTCACTCCCAACAAGCACTGTCCAACTTATACATGTACAAGTATATCTATAGGAAAAGGAAACAAAGCTCATGTTCCATGAAAGCCCTTATTCATCATAACACTCTTATATATTTCGTACAGCAAGCAGCACCACTGATCCTCTATGCAACTCCCAGGAGTTCCTTTATATCATTCTGCAAAGGAAAACAAACATACACAAAGATACCGAATAAGTAAGAACTAACCAAAGATAAAATCGATCATAAACTGGAAATGTGGTGGTGACTGCCGAAGTGGGTGTTACCTCAAAGCTAGAAGGGTTAGTAGTTGGGTCATAATGATTAACAACATTCCCATCTTTGTCAACCAAGAACTTGGAAAAATTCCATTTGATATTGTCTTCACCTTTGCTCGACTTCAGGAACTTGTATATAGGAGCAGCACTCTCACCATTCACATCCACCTGTGTATCAAAATAGACAAAGCTCAAACTAGTTAGGAAAAACTACCATGGAGTCATAGTACACTTTTGACTACCTCGGGGCTGAAAGATGAAACACGTGCATTTTCATCTATAATTTTGTTAAATTACTGAACAAGTACCTTGTCAAATATGGGATACTCAGCCTTAAAGCGAGTGCAAGCAAATTCCACGATCTCTTCATTGCTTCCAGGTTCCTGAGCTCCAAACTGGTTACAGGGAAATGCTAGAATTTCCAGGCCTGCACAAAGACAGTGATAAGGGAAAAACTGAAGAAAAGGATTGAATTATTAAAGCAAAGTGACCTAGGTATATATTGAAGTATTTTCCCCCTGCATTTTGCAGAGGAAAGTATAGAAAGTCTGAGATATACAAGTTTTATTCATGTGATCTTGTCTATAACCTTCAAGACACCATAAAGTTAGAAAGGGTACAAAAGCACACCTTGATCTCTGTATTTCTGGTAAAACTGACTCAGCTCTGTATAGTTGGAATTGGTCAAGCCACTGCATTACAAAGTTTTAAGTTATAAATTTAACATACAAGGAAGAGGCATGTTGAAAGGGAATGCTCTAGAAGCATTTAGACATTAACTCCAAATAAAGCTTTTCAGGAGCTTTTTTATATATAAACAACAAAATTTAATAAAAATTGAGAGTGAGACATTATAAGTTTGATGTAAATTCAATGTATCAAAGTTAAAGCATACCACTGTGTGCAACATTGACAATCAAGAGGACCTTTCCTTTATAAATGCTAAGATCAACAATGTTTCCCCTTGCGTCCTGCAAAATATAAAACAACAGAATTTATTATGATTTCGCTATCAATAATAAAATAATCCCTACTAGCAAAAATATCATTATCTAACAAGCTTATGCTAGGATCATCAACTATTATATCTCTCAAAGGACTCAGCCCACCAGAATAATGGCGAACCTCATTATAAAAAGTATTGCACTATTAAGCCTCATTTGAGGCCTTCGGTATGCCATTGTTTTCCAGGGATTTACCAGTGAAAACAAAGAAACTTCTCGGAGTTGGTTAAAGGAGAATCCCATTCCCATATATTTTGGATTTAGTTTTCTTGTGAGACCATGGTATTAAGCAGTTAGTAATCAACCGTTTTGTTTGTTTCAAGAAGAAGAAAAAGAAAAAAAGACCGACAAACTGACCTTAACAGTGAAGTCATGAACTGATTGCTTGGATTCGCTAGCCATTCTATGATTAGATTTCAAAGTGTTGATGGAGAAATCAAAAGGGTTTTCTTAGAATTTGAAGAGAAAGAGTTTGTTAAAAGAAGAGAAGTAGAGTACAGTTGCTGCGTTAAGATTTCTTTCCAGGAGAATGCGAGTTGGAGAAGAGAGCAATGAGGATTTTATAGCTTTCATCGTGTATGAAATTTTGAGCGTTGGCTAGTGTGGACATAAATTCTGACGATTAGTCTTGCAGGTTGTTGGTTGGCATGTCTACACGTGGATGATATTTCGATCAGAGATTACGTCATTATCTTTTAAACAGTTAAAATTCTAGAAGTCTTGTGTGGTGAAGGCGACAGTGGGGCTTTCGGGCTCCAACTGGCCGGCCTCTTGCTTGATATTTAGAACAGTTGGAGTTCACATTTGTGTTGGCAGTGCGGTCAAAGTTTTGAGGCTTCTGTCCTCACCTCTGTTCTGTCCTCACCTCTTTTCAGTACTCAGCAGTTTTATTAGTTTCTAGAAAATTCTAGTTGACGATGTATTTGTCTTTGCAGTTCAGTTTAATCCGAATATTCGATGTCTCATATTTTTTATAAGGCTTGCATGGAGTTTCAAAAGACAAAAATTGATTTCAACTCTAATAATAATAATAATAATAATAATAATAATAATAGTAAAAGACTTTTTCACATCCAAATAATAGTTTAATGATATTTTTCTGCTTATAAATTTTTAAAATATCACTTTATTATCTAAATTTATATCTAGTTTTCGATTCCAGCATCGTTGTGACCACAAACCACATCATTCTCTTTTCCAATCATCACTAACCAAAACCCTTCAAACCTTATTCCAACTGACTTTGTCAATTGTCGATAATCAAGAGATTAGGGTTTGCACAACTGTCTTTCCCAAGTCAAATTTCGATCAACCCCAACTACCAAAATCCAACCTTTCACCACCAAAAGAGTCATTAGCCTCCCCTTTTCAAAAGCCCCAATAGCTTGGACCGAGTTTGCTCCTTGTTCGCCACCAAAATATAATTTTGGATAGTAAAATAGATAGGAAAGTCTCATTAAACCATTATTTGAGTCGAAAAAAGTTGTTAACTCTAATAATAATTATAATCATTTTTGGATCCATAATAGTTATATCACTTGGTATTCAATAGGATTTAAACATAAACTAATTTTTTTTTTTTTTTTTTTTTAAAGATAACCGGGGTGTTTAGGCACCTCAAGTCCTCAACTAATTTCTAAAGTCTGTTGAATACCAACTCAATAGGTCAGGTAAATCACAAGACTCAAACATAAGACCTTTGGATAATCAACCCAGATGGTTAAAGTCTTGCCATCCAGGCTTTGACCACAAGGTTATTTAGTAAAAACATTTTTGGTGAAAATGAGTTAGAATACTTTTCAAGATAACTTTTTGTCTCAATAATTAAAAATTAATATAAAATCATCAAACATAAACTAAATATATAAAAATACAATCCAAAATTTTGAATTATAAATTAATTTTAACAATTATTTTCGTATCACAAAATGCATAGGAATATTGTGCCGTTATTCATGTGTTGATAATTCTAGACATCAATTTTAGTATTAATAGCTCTAAATTAGCAATCCTAAGGCAGTGTCATTATAGGAAGATGAAGATAGCTTCTTGTTGATATGAAAGTTCGCACCAACCAGAGAGATGCAATTGACCTTGGTGGAATTGGAATAGATGTGGGCGTGATTACGGATAATCAGTGATGGGTAAATGATAAATGCGATAAAGTAAAAGACAATAAAATTTTTAAAGTGGTTCGGTGAGGTAACCTCTTATGCCTATGTCTACTGTTCTTATATTCGCTGTGAGAGCTTACAATAAGAGTTTTATGGAAAATTTCTAACTCCTTTTTCATCATTTGAGGGGGTTTATATATAAGGTTTGTACAAAGGAAAGAGCGAAAAAAAAGAGATTACAATTGATCTGAATTGCAATTCCGATATTCTCGCAATTGGACACTGTGATTGCGCAAAGATTATTGTTAATCTGGTCATTCCCGTAATATATGAGATCTGAAGTTAGCTGGGAATTAATTGAATGATCGTTTGGGTTGTTCGCGAGTAGCTTGTGCTAGGTTGAGCTATATGTCGACGAGCTTATGCTGGGTCGGACAACCGGTAGAGTCGGATTGATTTTGGGTCAATCTAATACTCGTAACTCACCGAATTTGATGGA